CGCGCCCCCGCCACTGGCGCGTGCCCGTGGTTGGGAGGGTGGTTTGCCCTGGCCCCAGGGCAAGGAGGGGCCGAGGAGGGGACCCGCATCAACCCACCTCCCCACGGCCACACCGTGCCCCTCCACTGGCAGCAGGGACCCGCTGCACGCCCAGCCCAGCCCGGCCTTCGGGCTGAAACCGCGGCAATTTGTTTAACATTCCTGGCTGCTCATCCCAATCTAAAGGTCACCGCACCCCTGTGTGCACGATATTTATATGTACGTATGGCAGTAACACCTATATAAACCAGGCTGTGTGAGATACGTGTATATAAACCAAACCAAAACCAGACACAATGTGAGTGTGCAAGTCTGCGTGTGTATGCACATTTCTCTGTCTGTCTCTCTCCATATATATATAAAAAAATTACATCTGAAAGGACAAAGTTGCCTGAGACTCATGACCCAACAAAATATATTTCACCCCCAGCCCATATTTTTCTTCCTGAAGAGATGCTGCAAATCTTCCCTCAGTCCTGACACATCTCATCTAGACTCAGTTAAAGTTCGTATTTATGGGCGTCAGCGCTGACCTCTTCCACCTCCGCCCGCGCGGCCTCGCGCCGCGGCTGCCTGGCCGGCCCTCGATAAACAAGCGGGCCCCCAAATCCCCCTCTGCCGCGCAGCATTATTAGTCTTGCCTCCGAAGGCCAGCGCAGTCCGTAATTCTCTGCCTGGTGACACGAGATGAACGCCGCGACATCAGTCTCCCCGGCGGATTGGCATGGGGACCCTCGTTTGTCAGTGGCAGACTGACAGAATTACTGGCCCTTAAATGAAACGATATATCTGGGAAGTTAAATCTGTTTTCAATCTGACTGCCCCGCGCCTGCGGGCGGACGTGGCGTGTGAGCCGATGTCAAGAGGCCATTAGCCCATCTCCCCCCCTTCCCTGGGCGCAACGGCAGAGCCGGGGGGGCAAGGCCCCCCACCCTGGCCACCCTGCCAGGAGGACACAGCAAAGTGCTCGGTCTGCCGCTGCCCCTTGCTGGGCTACTAGTATGGGAATGGGAATGGGAATGGGAATGGGATCCAGACCTGCTAGCTCCGGGGGGACCTGCTCCCGCTCTCCCTGGGCAGGGAGCAAAGGCTCGTCCTGGCCAGGCATGAGCCGGCAGGTCCCTGTGCCCCTGAGGGTTTGCTCTCTCCTCGCCAGGCACCCTGCGAGGCCCTGGGGAGAAACCAGCTGTCTGCAAAACAACCCTGCAGCACCCGGGTGCTGGGAGTGTTCAGGCAGGGGATGCCGTGCATGAAGGCATCTGTCTGCGCCCCCTCCTCACCCACATGTGCCCCCTCCCAGCTTGGCATCAGCCCAGCATGATGCCCTGGAGCCATGTCCCAGCACAAAGCCCTTCCAACCCGGATCCCCGCACTGGCCTCGGCCAACAGCCCTTCCCCGGCTGGGGATGGAGACCATTGCCTCCATGCAGATGTTCCCAGGGGATGGAGAGGGCTGCTGGCATCCCCTGCTCCGAGGAGCCCTGAGCACCCGGCAGGGACTGCCTGCGTGACGGTCATCGATCTCTGAGATCGTGATTTTACTCTGTGCTAGCAGGCTTTAGGGTAAAGCCATAAACTCTGCACTAGCGGGAGTTCATTTACCGCCCCAGCAGCTGTTTGCTTTTATGTGCCGAAAGGAGCGGGAATGGGGTTTCAGGAGCTGCAGACTGACTCCTGCTCCCCAATGGCTTCTCTCCGTGTGCCCGAGGGAAAGCCACCACCCTGCACCAGGGAGGACATGCCGTGCCGGGAGGGCAGCGGGCAGCCCCGGCACCATCCCCTGGGGAACATGCAGAGAAGGGCCAGGGCACCGGGGGCTCAGAGGGAGCCAAGGCCAGTGACAACCACGCTTTCTCACGCTCCCTCTGGAGTCAGGGCAGGACGTGGCGCCCTGCGGTCCTTGGCCCTGTGAGACGTTGGAAATTTGCCCCGCGGTGATGGACGGGGATGCCCGGCCGAGCTCCATTCCCCGGGGCACCACATCCCGTGTCATGGGCACGGTGGGGGATGTGCCCCGCTTCCGGCAGGATACCGGGGGCCCCGCCCCGGGGAGGGCCCTTTCACCCCCCCCCCCAGAGCCCCGGGGAGGAGGAGCGCCCACCGACACGGATTCACACGGAAACAGCCTATTTTGGTGGTGCAATCAGGCTGACAATGGAGTTACAAGGCTACGCGGCAATGCTGCTGGGAGCTGAATTTACACTGTTTACAATATCTCCTGCAAAACAACAACCACCCTGTTCCCAAAATCCAGGCTGGACACTGATATGATTGAAACGAGCCCAACCCACCCCCACAATACCATTTCCTGACACTGTTCTGGCAGCCAGGGACTATTTTGAGCCACGAGGCTCTGCCATGCTCGGTCCCATGGCACCCTGCGCAGTGGGCATGGGGAAGAGCCTGGCCCTGTCCCAGGGCATGGTCCCCGCAGCATCGTGGGAGGAAGGTGATTTTGGCCAGAGCCAGGTAGTACAGCCTCACGCTCAGAGCACGGGAAGGCACCTGGATCTCCCAGCCGCTCCAGGACATACATCTCTGGGGTTTGGCTGCGTTGCAAAATTTTCTCTCCCGTTTTTGCACCAGTTTGGGATCTTAGGTCAGTCCAGGACATGAATGGAAAACGTCTGAAAGCTTGGCAAGGTTTGCAGGATGGCAGAGATGGCTGCCTCACCCCTGTTAACACACCCCTCGACCCTAGTAACTACTGGGGGGGATTTGCTAGCTGGGATGGCCCAGGGGCTGGGGGTCAGCACCACGTCCCCCAGCTGGGCAGGCTCATGGGCTGCTGGCAGCACAAGTGGCTCCGGAGGAGGCTTGGTGGTGTCCCCTGCCCTGGCCAGCCCTGCCCCGGCTGCTTGGTGCTAATAAGCACCTACCTGACAGCATCGATTTTCCTCCTAAAGGCGGAGGAGAGAATTGTCTCAACTATAATTCCTCAACGTTACATTTTTCAATTATATCTTGAGCTTGACACAGCAGTCACTCTGCCGGCGATTGCCTCCACACCTGCCCCCACCGTGATGAATCTGAAATCATTAGCCCC